GCCCAAATATCGAAGAGCAAATTTTGAGTAAAAAAGTACTGACCTTTATTAGCCCTATAGCTAATAATTAACGAATAATTTCACTTCGTTTCTTAAAAATAATTTTTGCATAATATTACATTGGAGATTTAATACCAGCATTAATTTGTACGACCTCCACTTACTAGATGTTGGATTTATAAAAAAAAATATGTACTATATAAAATGTATCCTTCCAAATTATACTACTTTCCCATAAAAAGATTTTTATACAATGCATATTTTAGAGGTAAGCCAGTTGCGTGAATCAACCTGTATAATTTTAGAAATAATGCTATTTTGCTGTTGAAATACAAATATTTGTGTGTATTTGTGATAATACATTTTACAAGATTCATGTTTTGCATTGATTTTACTTATCGATGCACTCGTCCTTACAATATATTTTGCAATGTCGTTCGATGTTTCAAATCTCATAAATGGGATATACTTCTCGCGGGAATATCTCGTATAAATCTTCAGGAAATTTTGTAGCCGGCAATGCGGTTTACTCAAGTACATCTGCTACTTTGATGGAACCGATAAATTCGTATCTTGGCTCGTGCCACACCTCTCCCAATTTAATTTCTGTTTGGGAATCTGATTTTATGGTGAGTAAGAATATTTTTCATCGAGATTGCAAAATCCTTAATCTTCACGAATTTGTCCAATTCGTATCGTAGAAAGAAACAGTCAATTTAATACTTTTACGCCACTGTAAATTATTGAAACCTAATTACGGGTAATGGAATTCTTTGTTCGACGAGGATGGCTCGTTAACAGTTCTTGCGCCGATTACAAAAAATTGTGAACTAATTACTTTGAAAGACTATTCGAATAAAAAGTAACAGGGTATTCGTGTGTGAAAGTCATTTAATCAAACGTAATGGAACATACATATGAAAACTGTATTACAGTATTAAAAAATTATTAATAAGGCTTGTTGATGACACTCTCCGTTTTCTTCGATTATCTTTTTATCTTTGGCAATAAAAATCAAATCGTAAAATTCGACAGTCCCGTTCATTCATAACTTTCAGTAAATTGAGCGAGCATAAAATCAAATATGATGTAATACAACTTTATCCACATTTATTAAAGTGCCCGAGTAACAAGTCTACGTAAGACGTTATTTGCTAGGAAAGTTTTGATGTGTTAGGCATTGCTCATCAGCGTACACATCGTACCGCTACTTGAGCCACTCCTAACTTCTGTGGAGACCTCCTTTCTAAGTACACAGACATGTACATTCTTCGTTCTGTTTTTACTTGAAATTATTGAGGGAACCGATCGCGTGCAAAAGATATTAGCGGGTGCTAACGATATCATCCAACAGACTGTAAACTGAAAACGTAGAAATGGTTACAGATATAAAACTGTATTATCAGTTTTATGTACATAGATATGAAGATAAAATTAGAAAACGTTTTTATTATTTCTAATTTAATATTTTCATACTCGAGAGTTTGTTCGGTATGAAGTAACATAATGCAATACTACACTTTTAGTATATTTACTTTTTTTACAATTCTTATTATATTTTACAATCTTATCTCAGTTTTCAGTGTAATAATGACGTCTCCCCGGATGTGTGACTGTTATACGAAATAGTTTTTACGTCGTTTTACACGGCCAGCAATGAGTGGATGTTATGCATGTATCACATTTCATGCAAACTGAAACTGTTTTTCGTTATCTGGGTCTACTGTAACGCACTATCACGAGATGGGATATGGTGCGACAGTGAGGTTCGCTCGTTCCGAGAAATAACGATTGTATGCACATACGTATACGTGGAACAACGCTTCTATCGATCGATATCAATGATTGGATAGACTTTGTTGACCCCTTAACTCGTCGATGGTCCCAAGGCTAGCCCAATATAGTAAATCAGTGTTTGTCAACCATTCTCCGTTAATTACATTTTACAATGATGTATTAAATACTCTTTCATCTTATTTCTCATTCATGTATAATTAAAAGAAAAATTACACATACATGATTCAAACTTAATATTGTATTAAATAAATTGATGAATCAAATTAGGTGTAGATTAAAACTTAAAACTAACTCGTCATTTACAAAGTATTTATTTCGATATGTACTTCGTGGTCGTGGCAAACTAGAAATTGGGAACCACTGTTTTAAATAGAACTAGTTCACCCCAAAATACGAACATACGTACATATACATACAGTGGAATCAGATTCCGTGACTGACCGGTGACGTAATCTCCACTGTTATCATAATTAAACTAGGAATGAATCATCGTTGAATTAATTAATCCGAATAACGTGTTACGCATTTGTCAGAATGATCGAATCACGTACTTCAAGTAAAGCTGCACAACGTTCTACTTTTCATAAAAAATTGTTCAACCTGAATGTGAACAAGTACTTTTTAAGAGTGCACCGCATTTTCTATTTTACGTAATGAATTTACGAAGCGAAATTTTTCCTGTTCAGCAGTCATGAGAAATTATAATATTTCCATGAGAGAGAGCGAGAGAGAGAAATTTGTCCTCAATTTTCATAATTAATTGCTTGTCGTGATGAAGATACACGTCGTTGATTTCAGATGCTCCATTCAGGCTCAGTATTACCATTATATTGAGAATTCTAGACAGATAGCCATTCTCCATAATCCATATTTCATAACAGTTTCATTTAATTTAAAATCTGTCCAATT